TCTGGGTCTTATTTAAGCCTTCTGTTTTAGCTGACTTCTGACACCACACTGGGTGAGAGTGAGCACTGTCTTGTTGCTGTTCAGTGGATTTAGAAGTTCAGGTTGCTCACTTGGCCTCCATTGACACCAGAATGGGGATGTCCTCTTTACTGCCTTGTGAGGTGAGAGTTCTGGCTACCCACATGGTCTCCACTGACACTACGGTGAAGGTAACCTTGATAGCATTGGGTTGATGATGGAAGTCCTGACTCTCCTCTATGTTTACCCTAACACCACCTCACCAGGAAAGGGGAAGGGTGCCTTGTTACAGCTGAGTGAAATTGGTAGTCCAGGCTTCGCACATGATCTCCACTGATGCCATGGGGGGAAGACTCTATGGGGATCTCTGTATAGAGACTCTCTCTATATACAGATTTTCTCTGTGTGCAGTTTTCTCCTCTCTTTCATTCTGCCTTGTGAATTCTGTCTGCCTTGTCCTCCACAACTCCTCTTCAACTCAGGTAGATTGCTGAGATCTGCCTAGGTGCCCTTTCCCTGCACAGTAGCATAGAAACTATTTCTAGGCAGGAAGATGAAGCAATTGTAAGCTCACCTTGTTAGTTTCCGCTCTCTCACAGATCACTGTCCTATAGTTCCTGATTTCCAGTGTCTGAAAGCATTTGTTTCTTTTCAATTGTCAAAATTTTAAGTTGTTTCAAGTGGGAAGGTAAATTTAGTCCCTATATCCCATCTTGGCTATTAGTGAAATCTTCTTTCAGTTACTTTTTTATTTCTCAAAATTGTATTTAGTTATTTTAAAATCTTCCTGATTATTTTATAGTTTCTTATTGCTTGCTCAGTTGTTTAATTATGATTTTATTTCTTTAAGTGTCTCACAAATCTTGTATTTGTGCTTCTTCTGATTATTAATTATGGCAGCTTGTTCCTTTGTGTTTTTGATAATCTTTAATTGTGAGATCATATTTGGTTGTTTTCAATCTGTGGAAAATATGGGATTTAAAAAAAAATCCCTGAATTGATGGTGTTTTCCTCCCTTGAGGAGTTGCATTTGGTTCTGCTAGTAAGCAGGAGGCACTACTAACCTAGAAACCCTTTAACCCCATCCAGGTTCTTATCTCCCTCATCTTGCTGTTGGCCCATATCTCATAACTCTAGCCTGATATTAGCATTTGGATTAGGGAAAACCTGTCCTCAAATGTACTGGCTAGAGCATCAGGTTATCTTATGACCATCAGGCGATACCTATGAGAAAAATTAAAATAAGAAAAAAAGCCAAGATACTGACCCTGACACTATCGAGCAGCTAAACCAGTACACAGGAGATGCCTATCTCCAAACGTCTTCTTATGTGAAACAAATAAACAACAAAAAAACCTATTTGTTTCTCTCTATTAGTTATCTGTTAATTTCAGATGATAGCATTCCTGACACACTTTCCACATCCAATTCTTCAGCAATTCCTGTTTTCTTTATCTTTGAAATAAATCACTAATCTGACCATTGAAATACTTTCTAGTGCTATCACTTTGTTCTGAGCTATCATGATCTCACACATTGCTCCTGCAATCGCCTCTTAACTTGTCTTCCTGCTTCAACTCTTGCCTTCCTATTATAATCTGTTTTCCACATAGAGTGATATTTGTAATACTTAAATCAGATCAATGTTACTCCTTATTCAATACTTTCCAATAGTTTCTCATTGTGCTCAGAATAAAATCAAAACACCTTACAGTGGTCTAAGGAGCCCCTGTGTGGTATAGACCATTGCTACCTCCCTGACTACATATTCTACCACTCTGCCTTACTCTGTTTCAACTTGGCAGGATTTCTTTCTGTTTTGCAAGCATACCAAGATAAATCTGATTTCATAATCTTTGTACCTGAGTTTCCTCTGCCTGGAACGTTCTTTATCCAATGTCCACATGACTTTCTCCTCACTTTACTCAGGTTTCTGTCCAAATGTTTTATCCTCACAAAGGTATCCCTTTACCACCGAAGCAGAAATAGTCTGTCTGCAGTCAATTTTAACTTTCTGGTCCTGCTTAAATTTTTCACAGCAATTATCACTCACTTTAATATGTTAAAAAGGAATGTGTATTTATTTGCTTGTCGTTTTTCTACCCTTAGACTGTAATATGTATATTTTGTTCACTGATAAATTCCTAGTGTGCAGAACTTGCCTAGCAGAAAGTTAGCATGTAGTAAACTTTTTTTTTTAAGTAAAATAATGAATGGTGAGTAAATTTGACAGCAGACTGGGAGCGTTATGGACTCAGTTTCTAGTGCTTGATGTTGGTTCTTAATCACTGGTGACTGAAGTCAATCAGATGACCAGACCCTAAAGAGTTTCAGCCAGGTGACCATATTGATGAAGAGATTATCCTATTACCCAGTTGCACATGAGTACTTCCTTATTGTCTGAAGTTTTTTTTTTTAAATGACTTGTTTCATTCATGTGAACCTCCAAAGACAGTAATTTTATTCCTGTGTAGTTAGTGTTTAATTATTTGATTCACTGTTTACATATCAAGATGAATTGTCACTTGAAAATACTCCTCATACATGATAATAAAAATGTCATTGGTATATAGAGGATACTAACCAATGTATTCACACTTCCATGAAGGCTTGCATGTTGAGTTTCTAAAATTACTTTCAAATAATTATTATATACAATTTAAAAGTAGATTTCCATTGATCATAATTATAGTTTAATGTATGAAGCAAGTATACCTGTCTCATCCATTTTCTTGAATGCTGTAATATTTATCAAAATATAAATATATGACATATATGATTATGTCATAGCTTGTTAGATCTCTCTATATATGAATATATACAGTAGCTATATATGATTATGTCATTATCTTATTCAGATTAGCTCACAGTCATTTCCTTCCCTCATGGTCTAATGTTATAAAATGTGAATAAAAGACAAATTTCCAAGCCTTGCAGGGGTCCCTGGGATTTGATATGAAACGTAAATACATTTCGATATGCAGTACTTACTAAAAATACTAGAAGGACTGGAACTTTTTTTTTCTTTTCTTCCATATTTTTCCATAAAATGGGTGGCTACCATAACACAAATTTGAACTCACATACTGTTGAATATATGGAACAAGTAGGTTCCTGATTTTTGAATCATGAACTCAACTAGCACTTACAGTTGAGTGGTTCAAAGAACACTTAAAATTCAAATATCAAATAGACTGAAATAAAAGTGCTGAAATTAGATTTAATTTAACTTTTCTCACATTTTGTTGCTTCACTGTACATCACTATAGAATTGCAAATCTCTTACTGATCCTAATCAGGAACACAATTGTCACCAATACAATATGATTACGTGGAACACCCGTGCATTATTTATGATTTTTTTATTAAGTTTTTTTCTTGTTCAGTGTTGTGGCACGTGTCCTAGTTTTTAAAATAATGCTGGGTACATGCTCTAAAGTAAAGAAAAATCCTTATTTTTGCTGAAGAATTTTCACCATATGTCTACATTGTACTCAGAATATTCAGACTATGTGAATAATGCTATTGAAAAAAAAGTTTATAGATTTTCAATGATTTTTCTTCTTTTCAGTAATATCTCATGAGAAGGAAAAATATGTCCTGATGTTGATAAAACATTTTTCTTTCAAAGACAGACATTCTTTAACCAATTAAAAATACATCTAAATAAAGCAGGGTTGTTAACTGCTGTTGAATTGCCCCGACTGATGACAATCAACCTCTTGTGCGATGGGATCGGACCTTTGTGATCCATAGGGTTTCTGTTGGCTGATTTTTTGGAAGTAGATTTCCGGGGCTTTCTTCTTAGTCTGTCTTAGTCTGGAAGTTCCACTGAAACTTGTTCAGCTTTATATCAACACTTAAGCCTCCACTGACAGGTGCCTGCACTTGAGGTGCATTGGCTGGGAATCAAACTAGGACCCACACATAGAAGTTAAGAACTCTACCATGGGAATACCACTGCCCTTTAGTAAAGCAATAAAGATAGATTTTTTTTAAAAAAGCTAACATTTGTTTTGGAAAAAATGTGGCAAGCATTCAAAACAATCTTTACGCAGTAGACAGGTAGAAAGTTCCTGATTTTTATGACCCAGTAACATAACATTGAAATTACATTCAGTTTATTGGCCAAAGTCTAGTGCATTTACCAAATGTCTTAGTTTTTTGTTTCCACTAATACAGCGTAAACATTATGTCATGCCGTTAAGAAAATATTATAAAGTATTACATCAAATACACAACAATCTTTCTCCATTTTCCACATGTTAATTGAGGAATTCTTTAAGAATTTCTCTGTTTTCAAAGCAATAACTTTCTACAAGATTACATGCTTATGACAAGACAGCTGTCATGTATTTAAATCCATTTGATCATCCATCGACTTTAATTTTTTTCAGGTTTTAAAATAATTACTTTGATGGATTATATGTATTTGTGTTGCAGATATTTAAGGTTGATAAGAAATACATTATAGTATTTGAGCTTCTAAACTATAGGAGCCTGAAAATCAGAGTTGCTTTTGTACTAAATTTATTTGAGGAAGCTAATTTCTAGGTAAATTTTAAATATTCAAAAATTTTTCTTGGGAGTTCTATATCCAGTGAATAAATAAAATGTGTAAATTTGGAATAGAAAATCATATTTAAACATAGGCTTGTTTGTGGTAATGATACTTATTTGGAGAAATTTGGAATATTTGCAATCAATTTGATCAAATCAACTATAAAAATTAAGAGAAAGGATTGCAGTATTTGAAGAAATAAAACCATTTTCTCTAGGTAGTTGATGCATTTATAGCTTTAGACACTTGAGGTCTCTCTTCGACCCGGGGCTGTCATAGATACACAAAAGAGGAGGCGGAGTTCCACATCAGTTCTGGCCATTGTAGTTCACGGAGTGTGAGGCCATAGTAGAACAAGATTTTTGTGTTTTAACCCCAAATGAGCGGCAGGTTTTGACATCCGAGGCTTTCAGCTTGTGCTATGGTAGGTTCTCCCAGTAAAGGCCTGGGAGCCCGGCGCCTGCTGCTTTTGCTGCTGCTCTTCGCAACCCGGGAGGCGGTGAGCGGCCCGGTCCACTACTTGGTCCCCGAGAAGGCTAAACACGGCACTTCCGTGGGCCGCATCGCCCAGGATTTGGGGCTGGAGCTGGCGGCGCTGGTGCCGCGCCTGCTCCAGGTGGCGTCCAAAGGCTGCGGGGACCTTCTGGAGGTAAATGTGCAGAACGCTATTTTGTTTGTGAATTCTCGGATCGACCGCGAGGAGCTGTGCTGACGGAGCGAGGTGTGCACCTGGAGGTGATCGTGGACAAGCCGCTGCAGGTTTTCCATGTGGAGGTGGAGGTGAAGAACGTTAACGATAACCCGCCTGTGTTCCTGGGATCATAAAAAATAGTGTCCATTTTAGAATCTAGGCAGCCTGATTCTCGGGTTCCACTAGAGGGCGCTACTGACGCGGACATCGGCGCCAATGCTTTGCTAACTTACAGGCTCTCTCCCAGTGATTATTTTTCAATGAAAGTAATTTCGAAAAACCATCAGAATAAATTGTTAGTACTCGTATTAAAGAAATCATTAGACAGAGAAGAAATTCGTGAGCACTCCTTGTCACTAGCAGCCACAGACGGAGGCAAACCTGAACTCACAGGCAGCGTTAAACTGCTTATCAGGGTACTAGACGTCAACGACAATGCTCCTGAGTTTGAACAATCAGTGTATGAAGTAAGTCTTCGGGAAAATGCCATAAATTGGACGTCTGTGATAAAGTTAAATGCTTCACATGTGGATGAAGGTTCCAACCAAGAGGTTACCTACCACTTTAGTAGTAATATTTATTTCATGATACCAGAAATATTCACCATCATTTTAAATACTGGAGAAATACGACTAGAAGGGAATTTAGATTATGAAGAAATTACCTCTTATGAAATCCTAGTGGAAGCAGCAGATAAGGAGATTCCGCAAATGAGAGGGCACCACACAGTCCTAGTAAAATGTCCTGGATATCAATGATAATGTTCCTGAAGTATCAGTAACTTCGCTGTCTTTGCCAGTCAGAGAGGACGCTCCACTTAGCACCGTCATTGCCCTGCTCAGCGTGTCCAACCGCGACTACAGTGCCAACGGACAGGTGGCTTGCACCCTGATGCCCGATGTCGCCTTCAAGCTGGTGCCCACATTCAAGAATTACTACTTGCTAGTGCTGGACAGCTCACTGGACCGCGAAAACGTGTCTGCCTATGCTCTCCTGGTGACAGCACGGGACCGGGGCTCGCCATCCCTATCGGCCATAGCCAGCGTGTCTGTGGAGGTGGCCGACATGAATGAAAACGCGCCCGCGTTCGAGCAGCCTGAGTACATAGCGTTCGTAAAGGAGAACAACCCGCCGGGCTGCCTCATCTTCAGTGTCAGCGCGTGACGCGGACGCGCAGGAGTACGCGCTGGTGTCCTACTCGCTGGTGGAGCGGCTGGTGGGCGAGCGCGCGCTTTTGAGCTACGCGTCGGTGCACGCCGAGAGCGGCAAGGTGTACGCGTTGCAGCCTCTGGACCACGAGGAGCTGCAGCTGCTGTAGTTCCAGGTGAGTGCGCGCGACGCGGGCTTCCCGCCTCTGGGCAGCAACGTGACTCCGCAGGCGTTCGTGCTGGACGAGAACGACAACGCGCAGACGCTGCTGCCGCCTCGGGCGGGCGGCGCGGTGAGCGCGCTGGTGCCGCTGTCGGTGGGTGCTGGCCACGTGGTGGCGAAGGTGCGCGCGGTGGACGCCAACTCGGGCTACAACGCATGGCTGTCGTATGAACTGCAGCCGGCGGGGGACGGCACGCGCATCCCCTTCCGCGTGAGTCTGTACACGGGTGAGGTGAGCACGACGCGCCCCTTGGACCCAGCGGAAGCGCCACGCCAGCGCCTGCTGCTGCTGGTGAGGGATCACGGCGAGCCGCCGCTGGTGGCCACAGCCACCGTACTGGTGTCGCTGGAGAGCGGCCAAGCGCTGAAGACGTCGTGGCGGGTGTCGTCGGGCCCCGCGGGCCCGGAGGCGACGCTGGTGGATGTCAACGTGTACCTGATAATCGCCATCTGCTCAGTATCCGGGCGGCAGAGGGTGTGCTCTGGGGAGGGGCCGCCCAAGACCGACCTCATGGCCTTCAGCCCAGCCTACCTCCGGATCTGAACGTGGCAGAAAGAAATGAACATCCAGAAGCAAATTCGTGTCTTTCCGGTAATGTAAGTCCAACTTTGGAGCTTTAACTTATCTGACAATATTTTCAAATGTCACTTAAAGAATTTATTCAAGATGTTCGCTAATGTTGAACCAAATCTTGCCATTTAATGTAGCTATTCTCTTACTTGAAGCTGTGTCTTGAATGGAATTTAAAAACAAAAAAAGTAGGGACAAACTGTCATGCTCCTTGATTGAATGGTAAGATAACTTAAAATATGTATACTTAAATACTATGTAGTGCTGTTCATATTTAACACAGGATCTCAAAGTGGTCAAGTACTGAATGTGGTCAGAATAGAGATGTTGTTACCTATATAAAAAACAAAACAAAAACAAACTCGTTGCCGTCGAGTAGATTCCGACTCATAGCGGCCCTATAGGACGGAGTAGAACTGCTCCATAGGGTTTCCAAGGAGCCCCTGCTGTATTGGAACTGCTGACCTTTCGGTTAGCAGCTGAGCTTTTGACCATTATGCCACCAGGGCTCCGTTATTATCTGTATCTGCTAGTAAAATGTCAAGGCCTGGACAAATAGGCAGTTACAGAAACCATCTGCCTTTTCATAAGGTTGCAAATTTTAAAAATGGGCAATAAAAAGAATAGTTTTAAGTAAATGTAATTAAAAATGTGTCTGCAGTATTAGATAATTTTTTATTTCCAGGTTAAAACATACAACCACGACTTTTGTTGTCATTGTGGACAATTTCCTGATGTCGCTGACCTTGAGTTCACCTGAGTCTAGAAGGCTTAATATTGTATGAATTTGTTACTTAGGAGATCCAGTGAGGAAGCACTTATTGAACACCTCCCATTTACTTACAGACGTTTTCAAACCCTTCATTTTCACCTTGTTCAAACCTTTTAAGGACTTTGTGATGTGGATACTTTAGTCCCATTTTGCGGATGAGTGCCTGAGGCTCAGAAAAACTAAGTTCAGTATTTTTTTTTCTAAGTTTTCTTTGTCTAACCAAAGTGTGCATAAAGGAGGATCCTATTGTATTCGTGACTAAAAAAACAGACAATAAAATGTGACTGTTATTAGAAAGTTTTCTGGAAACAAAGCAGATTAAGCCATTCCCTGTTTATGCGAACAGTATTCAGAAAACAGTGTAATTCTCATTGCTTCAGCAAAAGAGCAATATAATCAAGTAGCTGGAAAATGCCTTTTAAGGGACAATTAAATGATCAAGCAATTGAGTGGGATAGAGTAAACTATGTTTTAAGGCCAAACTGAAAATCGTGAATTGTGTTGAAAGGGTAAACATATTATTTTCTTTTTGAGGTAGAGGCAGGCATTTGAAACTAGAAAGGTACAACTTGCTTCTTTAAGAATTTATATAGGTTAAGAAAGCAATAAGCTAACAGTGCTTCAGTGAGAAGTTAACCGTAGGATTATTAACGGAATTAAACATCATTTGATGAATACCAATAGCCCCCCTTTTTTTTCAATTTTGGCTGACGGCATTCAGGCATGCCTTCATACAACTGCATTAGGATCACTGTCAAAAACGGAATTTTAGATTGATGCATTATGAACTCGAGAACAGCCAAACAATTCTTTCTGTATTATAATGGTTGTTGTGAAGGTTAAAAGTTTTCCAGGTTAGTTGAAAGTAGTAACTTGGAGGTGGATTTCAAATATTAATCACTATTGAAAGCAAAAGAGGTGGGTTTAGGGCTACAAAGTTTGAAAAGCAATTTTTTATGAAAAGGTACTTCTAGAACAGGGAAAAGATTATTGAGGAGTTGTATTTTATTTCAAGTATTTATTTTAACATAAATATGAGTGGATTCCCTATTGGTAGTTCTTGTCCCACTCAGAATCTTCATGTAGTTGATACAACTTCAATAGTGTTGTCTTTCTTCACAAGATTTGTCCCAGGAAATGCACTGTATCACTTCTGTTCTTTATAGAGATGAACCAGTTGCTCTTTTTACTTTTCCACCTGTTCTTTCCTCTGATTCATTCATTATTCATTGACTACTTTAGTATTAATAAAAGCATAACGTAATATAGATTTATGGCAAATTCTATTTTTAGTGCTTACTTCATTATATGTTTACGATTTAGATTAGTCTTTCATTTAGGAAATTTATTGTCTTTAAGATGGCCATGCCCTCAAAAGGTGAAGTTATATATGCCAAAAACTTATTATCATATTCTAACCATTGTTATGCAATTGGATTAATTTTGCTTAACATTAAAAAGTATCTGAAAGAACTAGACAAAGAATAACATAACCTTTATGATTGTACTGAAATCTTGAGAATAACAGGGTTATTCTCATTTTTCCATGGAAACTCCAATTTTCAAACTCTATAATGAAAACAAAAACCATATAGTTTTCAGTAAAATCTTGATGAAAAGATACATTATTTTTTGTATTATTCAACTTTAGTAATTAGTTTTGGCCTCCATCAATATTTATATCATAAAGTGCCATTTTATTTTCAGGTTACCTTGGTATGATGATACCAATGCAATTTCATCTATAGGAAAATACTGTCTTTTCCATTGCCTATAATTCTATTTTCTGATATAACAATAAATAATTAGAAAAGTAAGGTATCATTTGAGGCACCTTTAAGACTTGAGGTCAGCCAAGATTACAAATACCCAAAGGGCTAAAGGACCACATGAACCAGAGACTCCAGCAGCCTAAGCCCAGAAGAACTGGATGGTGCCCGGCTACCACCACTGACCACTCTGACAGGGATCTCAATAGTCCTGGACAGAATGGGAGAAAGCCGTAGAATAGAATTCAAATTCAAGAAAAAAAGACCAGAATTACTGGAGGAACACCTGAGACTATGACCCCCGGATGCTCTGCTAACTCAAAACTGGAGTCAGTCCTGAAGCCCACTTTTCAAAGATAAGACAGGCATATAAAATGAAAAATAACACACATGAGGACCATGCCCAAAAGCAAGACGAGAAGGCAGGAAGGGACAGGAACTGGATGAATGGACACAGGGAAACCAGGGTGGAAAGGGGGAGTGTGCTGTCACATTGTGGGGATTGCAACCAATGTTACAAAACAATATGTGTATAAACTTTTAAATGAGAAATTAATTTGAGCTGCAAACTTTCATCTAAAGCACAATAAACTTAAAAAAAGAAAAATACTAATGAACAGAGGAAAAAAGAATACAAATAAATGAGAATGAGAAATAGTTGTTCATTTTGGTAGTGGTGTAGTGATTAAGTGCTATGGCTGCTAACCAAAAGGTCAGCAGTTGGAATCCACCAGGTGCTCCTTGGAAACTCTATGGAGCAGTTCTACTCTGTCCTGTAGGGTCGCTATGAGTCAGAATCGACTCGACAGTGACGCGTCAGTGCTGCTTACCAGTATTTCTGTTCTTCTGAGAACACCAGAGGATTGCATTTCCCTGTTGCCTTGAGGTGGCCTGTGCCTATGTGATTTTCTTTGACCAATGAAGTGGAATGATGTGTGTCCAGGCAGAAGCACGTAATTGTCATCTTTTCTGCTGTGTCTTCCTGTTGCAGCAATTATGGAAGCACAAGTTGATATTGAGAGGCTACAAGATCAAAGCAGTGTGGGATGCTGAACCAACTAGTGGAGAAAAGCTGTCTTAGGGAATTTTCCATAACCACAGCGGATGTTGTAGGAGCAAGAAATAAATTTGCATTTATTTTAGAGGGAAATCTGAAATATTCAGTGCACAGAAATATATTTATTGGGGTTCAATGCCTGCAAGCTGAATGTGAGCAGAATAAACTCTAAGAGGAGAGCATTACAACAGGTTATATGACTGATTGCTGTTAGTTGCCATTGAGTCGATTCCAACGGGCGACCTCATGTGTACAGAATAGAACTGCTCTGTAGGGTTTTTAAGTCTGTGACCTTTTGGAAACAGATCTCCACGCCTGTCTTCCAAGGCGCCTCTGGGTATGTTTGAACTGCCAGCCTTTTGGCTAATAGTCAAGCACTTAACTGCTTGTGCCAGCCAGGAACTCCTTAATACAACTGAGAGGAGAACATTTTTATTGACATTTTTACTAAGGTATCTAATCATTAAGCAGATTAGATTACATGGACTCCACAGAAAAAATGATTGTGTTGTGATTTCTTCTTATGTAAAAGGTAGAAGAAAAAAACAGCAAACTGAGATAAAAAAGGTAGTAAGCACCTCTTCCTTTTTCTTGCCTAGCATCCATTTACCTTTCTTACAACAGAATTTTTGTTTTCCTTTGGGGCTTTGTAGTAGTTTGTGGAAGACTGGTTGAAGATTTTGCAAGAATAAATGCTTGGACGTATAAACCTATGGAACTGACAATTTGCTTTGATAAGTGCAAAGGGTACAATTTTAGCACTGGGTACTAAAAGATGTCAAGTTGGTAGGTATTTGTTGAACATGGCTTCTCAGTCTCCTTTCCCCACTGGGGAAAATGTGCTCTTGGTTCTGTCAGTGGAACTCTATCTCTCTGGTTTGGAGGTGGGGATATTCCAAGTCCTTGGAACGCTGAGTAGCAGCACAAAAACTCATACCCTCAAACATGTAATCCTGAAAATCCTGCAAAATTACCTTATACAATTTCAAAAGCTTCCTCAAACAAGCCTGTTTCCTGGATCAACCACCTGGATTCTGTGTTTAACTCTGTTATATCTCAACATTGCCATTTTACTATATTGGCCACTGGTTATATAAAAAAATACTGGATATCACACCGATATAGTTGCATTGCAGCTATGTAATGATGTAATAGCCAATCTGTAACTATGTGCAATCAATTTAAGCTCTAGGAGAATTTGTGTATATGAGACCTTGCCCTGCCTTTCACAAGAACCAACCTCCCCATTCTCAGTCCACATCATTTAGATAAGGCTGATTCCATCTCCCGGTGTGAACAAGTGACAAGTGTCTGGCCAATGTGAGAGCCATCAGAACTACTAACTGAAGGAAAGACACATCGTCCAAACTGGGTCAAAGAACATACTATCTAGAATTTTTACTAGGCTATTAGGAAAAAAGCAATTTCTTTTGAGAGTTGCTACACTGGTAATATATAAGCCTAAATGCTGATTTGGTTATTTTGCCATCACTTGGGAGAAGTTTACCTAAGAATAAGGTTAACAGAAAGGAAAAGAAATTGTAGATATGGGGATAATTTCCTACGGCATTATTAAAATGTGTAGATCCAGCTCTGCTTGAAACCAGTAAATCATTACCCATGTCCATGTATAAGCCAATAAAAGAGAGCTTAAGTCAGTTTAGTTGGGATTCATTATTAGATTATTGATTAATATACATCTACACTTCCATAGATGGTGTGAATAAGTATCTTAAGATATTGGACTTAAAGGAGAAATCATTATTGGGCTCCAGTACCAGGAAAAGCTAACTTCTTTTGAGCAAGGATTTTTCTTTTCTTTTATGGACACTGTGAATCTTGCAGTTAATTTTGTTTTCCTCTTTTCTCTAGGAATGTGAAGACAAAATCTGTGACCTACTTAATTGATAATCACCTTTTAGTATGCATTTTGTACACTGACTCCACCCCTGGATTTCCCCTTCTTTAACCTAGTATTATCTTTATTCTATTTTCATTTTGTGTGTGTGTGTGTGTGTTAAGGGGTCAGGTAAGGTTAATAAAACACTATATTCTCAAATAATTAACACAAAAGAGACCAATTGTATCGTTCTTGCATCAAAACCCAAATATAATAGAAAAAAAGTAATCTTAAATTAAGAGTACATTATCCAAATGAGGATAAAATAAATTAACTTCCAAATATCTATAAACAATTTTAAAAAATTAAATCACAAAAACCAATAGAGGTATACACAAATACATCTTCAATTGACTAAAATACTCTTTGATTGGTATGCACTTTGTTTGAATAAATGGTAAAAGAAAGATGATAATATGTTATAAAGTTTAAAATAGGTTTTTTTTTCTTCCCAAGATAGAAGCTATGAATAAACTTTGACGCGAAAATTGTTTCATTTAAAATCTAGGTGATTTTAGCCACATGATGTCGCTGTCTACCACAGAGTGCTCTCTAGAAAGGAAAAACATCAGAAGCCCCTTTGTTACTCCAAAGAAGAGGAACAATAAGAGAAGCGGCAGGACTTGAGCAGAGAATAGAAGACAATATTTACATTTTTTCAAAATATGATTTTCTAATTTGATCAACTCACTGACTATTGGTAATGGTGTTTTCTACAAGAGGGGGCCGGAAAGTCCGGCGCCTGCTGTTCTGGCTTCTGCTCCTCGCCGCCTGGGAAGCGGGGAGCTGCCAGGTCCACTATTCCGTCCCCGAGGAGGCCAAACACGGCACCTTCGTGGGCCGCATCGCGCAGGACCTGGGCCTGCAGCTGGCGGAACTGGTGCCGCGCCTGTTCCGGGTGGCGTCCAAAGGCCGCGCGGACCTTCTGGAGGTAAATGTGCAGAACGGCATTTTGTTTGTGAATTCTCGGATCGACCGCGAGGAGCTGTGCGGGCGGAGCGCGGTGTGCAGCATCCACCTGGAGGTGATCGTGGACAAGCCGCTGCAGGTTTTCCATGTAGAGGTGGAGGTAAAGGACATTAACGACAACCCGCCGATATTTCCAATGACAGTAAAGACTATCTGGTTTCATGAATCGAGGCTGCTTGATTCGCGGTTTCCTCTAGAGGGAGCATTTGATGCGGACATCGGAGTAAACGCTCTGCTCTCCTACAGGCTACGCTCCAGTGAGTTTTTCTTTCTAGACATACAGACAAATGATGAACTAAGCAAGTCTCTGTCTCTTGTACTGAAGAAATCTCTGGACAGAGAAGAAACCCCTGAGATTAATTTGTTACTGGTGGCTACTGATGGGGGCAAACCTGAGCTCACGGGCACTATCCAACTGCTTATTAAGGTATTAGATGTGAATGACAACGAACCAAGTTTTGATCAATCAGTTTATAAAGTACAATTGTTAGAAAACATCGCAAACGGAACCTTAGTGATTAAACTAAACGCTTCTGATGCAGACGAAGGATCAAACAGCGAGATTGTGTATTCACTCAGTAGTGATGTGTCTTCCACTATACAGACCAAGTTCAAAATAGATGGCAGCTCAGGAGAAGTCAGAATTAACGGACAACTAGATTACGAAGAAATGAAATCCTATGAGATTCAAGTCATTGCAGCAGACAAAGGAATTCCATCAATGTCAGGACATTGTAAAATTTCAGTAAAACTCGTGGATATCAATGATAACAGACCAGAAGTCTCGATATCGTCTCTTTCACTCCCCATCCAAGAGGACGCTCCACAGGGCACCGTTATTGCCCTCATCACGGTATCCGATCGCGACTCTGGTGCCAACGGGCAAGTGACCTGCACCCTGACACCCCATGTCCCCTTCACGCTGGTGTCCACCTACAAGAATTACTATTCGCTGGTGCTGGACAGCGCCCTGGATCGCGAGAGCTTGTCGGTCTATGCGCTTGTGGTGACAGCGCGGGACGGGGGCTCGCCTTCTCTGTCGGCCACAGCTGAAGTATCCGTGGAGGTAGCCGATGTGAACGACAACGCGCCGGCGTTTGCGCAGCCCGAGTACACGATGTTCGTGAAGGAGAACAACCCGCCGGGCTGCCACATCTTCACGGTGTCAGCGCGCGATGCGGACACTCAGGAGAACGCGCTGGTGTCCTACTCGCTGGTGGAGCGGCGGGTGGGCGAGCGCGCGCTGTCGAGCTACGTGTCGGTGCACGCCGAGAGCGGCAAAGTGTACGCGCTGCAGCCGCTGGACCACGAGGAGCTGGAGCTGCTGCAGTTCCAGGTGAGCGCGCGCGACGCGGGCTTCCCTCC